TTTACAAGGGAAGTTGGATCTGATGAATCTCGGCAATGCTGACTTGCTGTACTACATGAGCAAGAACAAGATTTCCCTTCCAGCACTAGATCAACCTTTATTGTATCACTCACCCAGATGGGTAAATTATTTCGCTTAAGTAAAAAACTGTATTCTTTGCATGTAGAGAAGTTGTTCCAATTTCACAGTCTTAAAGATATTTACCCACGAAAGGATTTTTAAGCTGCACTTCTCCTTGCTGAACCTTTGCAAGTGTAAACTGATATTACTACTATCTTATAAGCTTATCGCAAAGGTATCCCATTCACACTGGTGAAGATATGAATGGTTTGCCAATTTGATGCAATTCAGCTTAAACAGATGCAAGCAGCAGCTGGCTGTATTTCCAAGATTGCCCTCTGTTCTGAAAAAGCTCCTAATCTACCCTAGAATAATTGAATGTTGACACAAAGAGCAAAGTTATTGCCTTTAAAACACTTTTAGTGTGCAGATTTGTCACATCATCATGATGCACACTGCCACATGAGATACCAAGAAATGTCTGCCAAACCCAGCATTATTAAGCACAATACAAAAACTGCACAAATAAAGTGATGTGGAATAACAGATCCACATGCCACCTCTGCAGTTGGTAGCTATATATTATTACATATAGAGCAGGAGCACCTGGCTGTATATTTCATGTTTCTTGAGGATCTAATATAGGACTTCATCTCCAATCCTAGATTCAGAATATCTGCACCCAGGAGGATTTTTTATACTTGGGAAGTAGTTAAGTAGTTCTGCATCAAATAAAACCAACTGGCATATCCCTTTAATGTCAGCACCAACTCAGACACACCATTTCAGCATTGCTTCTGCTGTTCTATGTCTGTGGAAAAATCCATGGTGCTTACCACCACTTTATGGCTCATTATTTCTAACACAAAAACATTATATTATCGTGTCTTATATTTAAAAGATCAAACCACTACACAGCAGCACTCCCTTGCCATGAGGCAGCATCCTATCTTTCACTGGCTGCATGCCACTTCCTCTTGTGCCAGCAGTATAAGAAGAACCAGTGCTTCCCTGGAAGCAAGTGGAAATGCTTTTGTCCAGATCAAGTCAGGCCAAGGAAGCTCAGCTCTGTAAGTTCTGCTGACCTTCTCCATTACACAAATGAGCGTTTGCACCCTTCCCTGCTAGTCAACAGGCCGCATAGGGTATTACTCATTATATTGAATAGTGCTGCTTCCCTCAGAGCATGTCCACATTCAAATTATGACTGTGACATTTCCAGCATGGTATTCTTGTCTTCCACAAGGTTTCACATGAAATCAGTCACTGCTCTCACCATAAACAAACCCTCTAGGTTCTACCAGGTTATCTTTGAACACTTATTTTAGGCAAAAGCTCTGGTTTTAATATATGTAACTATACATCTCCAAAGCAAACAAACAAAAATTACAAATTAAACAGATCTGGACCATTGTAACCAGCATCTCAGTTGTGCTGCAAATTCAAGAGACTGATTTTTCCTAACAGCATACTCTAGCTGCACTACTTAGATATTAGTGCTAATTAATCATTTCTCTTTTTCTTACAAATTTAGGAAGGCCACTCTTCTTCATAATACTGCTTCAAGGAGGTCTCTTACATCTCAAAAGGTCCCAGAACATACGGATGGACAAAAGAATTTTCTCAGATTCGTTCTTCTTTCTGACATTGCTTCCTTTTGCAGGGAAAATAGTCCTGAAGGTCAACATATGGCCAGATAGTCTGTGGTCGAGAAGTTTAAAGAAGGTGGCCCGCTGCCTCAACTTCTATCTTTTACACCAGACAACGGTCTGTTTGTTTGTTTGCAAGCATTTTAGAATGTGTGATTTGGGGGGCTGGGTTTTTGGTTTTATCTGTGCTTGTGGTGTTAAAGTTTAATGCTGCCGGTAGCTGTTAAATTGATGGATTCACTGCACTGGTAGAAGTTAGCAGACTGTTTAAACTTAATTTTATTACATTCCATAGCACAACATCTCCCCCATTTCAAAAATACTACTACAAAAATACTATAGAAGACTGGTGCTCAAGACAAAGAAGATCAAATCTTCAGTATAGAGAACAAGTTGCACAACTATTTGGATACTCTGTGGAAGAGGTATACCATTGTTTTTATTTTTTAAACTTTTTTTGCAGGAAAGTTTATATTAGGGAATTTATTTGCCAAAAAGAAAAAGAACTATTAAGGGAAATTACAGAGTAAAACGAGCATATCAGAAACAATGCAAATCAGAATGCATAAAAATTTTCACGCAAACTTTTTAAAATGTTCCAAAATGGATTTAAGTGGATGAAACAATGCTGGAAGTATGAGAAATAGAGTGAACCAAAACTGACAGATTTATCCATTTTTATACTATATTTCCACAGCTGCAATACTGTAGTTGCCCTTGTTTTAGAAAGTCTTCCTTCTCCCCTATACTTAAGAATCAAAAGAAAAATGGTTTTCCTTATATCAATTGCTTATGTTTAATTAGAAAATGTTAACCTGATTGAAATACTTTTATGAACCAACACCTATTTCCAAATAGACCTGCATCATATGAACATGCATTTCATTTCAAATCACCTGCTCAAAATTAATTTTAGTTATTGAGATACTGGTTGCATTAAATGAAGCATCAGTAACCTATTTCACATCACTTCTCTCTCTTTACTGGGGCCAGAACTGCAGAATTATCAGCAGCACAGCGCAGGATATTTTAGTCCCTTGCTTTAAAATAACAAGGATGAATGTATTCCATTGCTTAGAGATTTTGTGTCATTTAAACATGAAATATGTCAGCCACTAGACCTTATTTCACTGACTGAACTGTATGGTTTGAACATTAATCAGAATTTACAAGAAAAAAACCTATTTCTTATTCTTAACTGAGATGGAATTAAAAAACACTTATATCATATTGTCACAGTTGCTAGCAAAAGCATTAAAAACAGCAAACCTCACTTTCTGGGCAGTTCTGTTGGCTTGATTAAAGTTGTCCAAATACCAGAAAAAGGCATTTTATACATGCACGGCTTCCCTATCTGTTAGGAAGTCGTGCAGTTTGTTGGAGATTATGCAGAATGGCTGGACAATGTACATCTCCCTCTTTATGAACTGATTACATGCTCATTAGCCCTAACCTATAGAACAATTCAAATATAAGAAGAGTCTCACAGCAGATGCATCCCTCACAGCATTTCTGTTTGCAGTCTCACCTGTTGTCCTCATTCTTCTGATTTGGTACACACACATTGAGAATGCACATAGCAAGAAGACATGTGAAAAGCACCTCTCAGTTTTGGAACATTAGTATAAATAAATGTGGCTTTTGAGGCAACTACACTGTTGTGACATCTACAACATCATGGCACTTACATTTTTTGCCGAGTGAAGACTTATTTGCCTAGGCATCTTATTTATTCATTAAAACATTTATACTCCATCTATACCAAAATAGGTATCAAGACAGCTCACAACAGTAACAGCACAGTTAAAATACAATGTAAAATATGTAATAAAATTCCCATCTTAAAAATGCCATCAAACCTTAAAATACTGGGAGAATAAAAATACTGGTGCTAAAAAGAATAAAGTTTTGGCCCCAGGAGCAGTCTCTGGGGAGCAGTTTCCACAGCTGGGGAGCTACTGCAGAAAAAAACCCTTCTCCAGGTAGCTGCTCTTCTAACCTTCTTCAAAGAGGGCTCCCAAAGAAGGCTCTCAGTAGAGGCTCTTAAGGCTCAGGCAGGTGTATAAGGAAGGAGAGCATCTTTTAGTTTCTGATGTTTATTGTAAAACTGTTACAGACCAATCTTATTGCTCCCTAGACAGCAGACAAGGGCAATAGGGCATCTCAGATTCCCAGGCCTGAGGTCAGAAAAGGAGTTCCAATCTTGAAGCAGAGGATCTGCAGTCAGATCCTGCCCAGCCATTCTTGAAGCTGGTAAGGAATGCCAGCTGCTCCACTGAAATTGAAGAACTGACCTCAGAGAAGGGCAAAGGGAGTGTTCAGGGGTGAGCAGGATGACAAGACACCAGGGCCACCATGATACAAGGTGTTTTCTCCCTGTCCTAGACGGCCAAGTAGGACTTTGCAGAGTGGCACTTGCAGGGAGGCAGAAATCACCTGCACCATTTCCACCTGCTTGAGAGCTTATGAGCACTGAGAATGCAACCCGTAGTATTTCACCCTAACAGTATATTAAAACTTTGTACTGCTGCTAGGTTTTATTTGGATATATTTTTATTTCATACTGTAGTTCTAAACTTTTATCATTTCTATTTGTATTTTACTGTGTTGTATTTTAAAGTTTTAATTAATGTACACCACCCAGAAAGCTCTGGTTATTGGGCTGTACAGAAGTGCAATAAATACTGAATATATTAAAAATGTTTCACAAGTGAGTGTAATCAAAATACAATAACCTGTCTTGTCATTCTCTAAAGCAGAGGATAAAAACTCAAATGAGTTGGAGGGCTGCCAGCCAAGCAGATGCTGATTTTAAAAGGCAAGGAACTTAATAATATGAGTTTAGCTTCTGAAATTGTTCCATATGTGTTAACCTTCTTCATCTTTCCTGCCCAAATCCACTCCCTCTATCAGTGAATTCTGATGAATAATGACAAGGGCAAAATAGGACCAACTGGAAGAAAAAGAGGGAAGAATCCGCATGCTCAAAGGAAACCTCGCTCTACAAATCACAAACTATTCTTTTTAAAGCCTAAAGAGACAGCTCCTAAAAGAGGGAGTGGGGGGAGAAATTCCACAACACAAGACTAAACATGTTGAATGATGAGTGTCAGTTGGAAAAGAAACATAGAAAGTTTGATGGGGATAACCTGCTTGGAGATACCGACTGGCTGAAACCCTGAACAGAAGCACTCCTGAGAGGAAGAAGGTACATTACAGTACTTTGGTGTAAGTCTCACTTACTTAAGAAATACAAATAACCTAGACACAAAAATACAGAAAGAGACCAACCTAAGGTCCAGTAGCTTACTGCTTCCAGATGTGCAGGGCTGCTGTAGATGGCATGCATATACATAAAATGAATCATGGCCTCTGCCAGCCACCACCAAATCAAAATACGAAGGGCACCCAAGATGAAATCACAGAGTTTAGACTTCAAACAGAAGGATTCTTCTTTATTCATCTGCATTAGGAATACATACATAAAAATTAATACTGTATAGAAATGATGTGATCCACTATATGCAGTCACTTGACAGTAAGCCCAATCAGACTATTGAACAAGGATTATCTATCATTTGGTAGGGCAAATTTTGTTGGTTCAATTTTTTGATATTGACCTATTTTATTGTACACATATGGAATAGAATATGCTATTATACATGGAAAGTCCTTAAAACTTAACAATACAATAATATAATAAGAAAAAGAGAGCAGCACTTAGACTGGTCATATGTAGTACCCACACATGTGGTATTTTGCTGCCACTTCAGATCTGCTGTGGACACATTGCAGATTCCATACTGTACAGACTTTCTTACATAGGATGCTTTCCTTTGGATGAATTCTGTCACATCAGCAATGCTCCCGATATACTACAGAGCCTAAAAAAATAAGTACTTTGAGGTAAACCAATTTCAGCTGAATTTACCTCTAATCACAAGCCACTTTCTCATCATGTGGAGCACCAGCTGAAGGAATGCCATTTTACATGAACACCAGATTCCTACAGAAAATTCAACTGGCAGTTCAGACACTGAAGAGGCTCCTAGTTCAGATATTCATCTAACAATAGCAATTCCTCACTTTAAATGAAATGTTTTTAATTTTTATATGCTCATTTTTCACTCACAGTCACTCTGCAGAATGGTTGTATATCTTTAAGGGTCACTAACTCACCAACATGTTTCACTTCTTAAACGTTAAACTGTTGTAAGATTATCTATCATAATTTCCTTCAGGAGTTTTAGGATCTTGTATAAATACCTGCAATCAGGTTTTGCAGATTGTTGTCTGCTCTCCCTTCCAGAGAAACAAACACACATAATCTGCAAGAATTTATGAAATTTTACTGGTACATATTTTTGCCATACTTTTCTGAGGTCAGTGTAAAAGTAATCATCACACACAAAAAGCATGCTATACCACAGAGTCTGAAGAGAAGACAGAGATGTATAAAATATTGTGCATGTGTGTGTTTTAAAAGAGCATAAACATCATTCCTCTTTTATGCAAATTTCCTAGTTTTGTATGACCAAAGCTGTGTACAATTCCAGAAAGTTTTTAAAATGGTCCACAAGTTCTTGCAATTCTGGAAAAACAGTCCTCTGGATTCACAGAAATCTACTGTCATTTTGAGATGCTGTGCATTTCCCCAAGGTCTCTAATTATCACACTTCATGCATTATGATGATCTTGCATAGCAGCTTATGTTTCTGTTTGCATAGGTATAGCAACAATAAAATCAGACATTTTTAAACCTAAAATCCAGCTTAGTAGAAGTTATTAAAATGCATTTTTATGCTTTCATTACTCTTCATTTTCATTCCTCTCTCAAAAGTCTACTCACATCTTGATTAGCAAACTTGTGTGAACATGTTTAATCATTCAATATAGTCTTTCCATCCATAACAGCCAATAGAACTAATTGCAAAAGAGGTATGTTGGATTAAAATATTCTCAACATTCAGCCATTATCAACAGTTAGGATAATTGTTTCTGAAAAAGCTTTTTGTTCTCTGACTTATCAGGAAAAATATAATGAGGTGCAAAATTCAAAGTGAATAAAGGCAATTAACACAAAAGAAATGTATTTATTTTCCTGTACCTTTTACACATAGGAGTTTGAGCAGCAAGTCCAAAGATATTACTTGCATCATTAAGATTGCTATTTGTATTGAAATATTAAATTGATGCCTATGTAGGAAAATATATAGCAAACCAAATAATAGAAGAAAATATTTGAATGAGTAATCCACTTGGGGACTTATTAATGCTTTCTACAGTTCAATGTGAAGACTTCAAATAGCAACAAATAAAACAGCATTTTCACACAAGATGGTATCCTGTACCACAAAACTGTTTGAGATGGACTGGCATGCTGTGATGTGAACGCATTCATATTCTGCTTGGAATGCACAGACAGAATGGGCAGAGCCAATCTGTGATGAAGGAGTGTTGCACTCTGCATGGACTCTGTGCTTCTAGCCATTCTTTTTTAACCAGAGTCCAAGGAACAACTAAAGCTGGAGTCCTAGGGCTAGATTTAGACTTGGTTATACTTACAGTAGAGTCAAGGAAATAAATGGAGCAAGTCATGATAAACTTAAATTCCATTATTTCAACAAATTTATGCTATACATTATGAAGTCTGGATTAAACCCTACACCCACTTACCTGGGAATAAACTCCAATGAATCCAGTGAACAAACTCAGGTTATTTGTATGCGCATTACAACACTGTCTACTCTAATGTCTACTCTAATGTAAATCCCATTGAACTTCAGTCACCCAATAAAGCAAACAAAGATTTCCAAACTGATACACTTTTAATGTGACCGTCTCTTTCTGGGGCACTGGGAGGGTGCCAAGCATCATGCTAAACCAAAGTTCAGCTCAGTGGCAGCAACCACTGCGAGTTTTTGGCTTATACACTCAACTCTCTTCTGCTAGAATGGTCCAGAGGTGTTCAAAAGCTTTTCACATCAACTTTTGCTTAACCATAGCTCGTTTCAAGTTGACATGTTTCAAACAACCAATAATTAACATTAATGGAAACAAATTCTGGTTGAAGAAATTCAAGTTTAGAAATAGCACATATAATTTAAATAGAAATACAATATGGGTCTCCATAGCAGGGAAATATAATGAGCCTGCCACTGTGCCTTTGCGGTTTGATGTTTGAGTGTGTCTTTGCTGCTCTCTCTCCTTATGGTTCTTTGCCTTTAAACCTGGCTTTGACTTGGGAGTTCATCAAACAAAGGCCATCTTCAAACAGAGGACTGTCCTGCATAAACTAGGCTACTTGGACACCCCACGGCTAAGAGTGACTTCTATTAACTTCTTAGGGTATCAAAAGACTGCAAAATGCTACTCATCTGAACACTTTCAAGTGAAAAGTGCTTTAAAACTAAAAGCTAACATTTCCTCCCCCTCCCCTGTATGATAGAGTAAAGATGTTCTGTAATTTATCCACTTTCTAGTAAGTGACCTAACTTTACATGTGGTGTATAATCTCTCTCTATCTCTCTCTCTCCCCCCACAGATTCACAAAAGGTACACACTCTTTTGAGAAGGTATGACAGGTAAATCATATATGGAATTGCCACAAGGTACCAAATACCACCCAGTGATTTACTTCTACAACACAATTTCAGCCAAATTCTCAAAGTATTCAAATTGCATTTTCAGACACTATAATTTCCAAGATATTCATGGGTGCTTTTGATTTGCCGCCACGTCTAAAATTGCCTTTAGATCACAAAGAGCAAGTCACTAATGCTGCTGGGTAACACCAGCTTTGCCAAAGTCTATGCCTTGCCCAAATAAAGCAAATTACAAGCACCCGCTAGCTAAACATGGACCCTCATCATACACATATACGCCATGGTGCCAGCAGGATATCCAGTCTTTGAACTTCGATATTAGTTATTTGTTTCATTTGTATCCTGGTTCTCTTAAAACATATATACTCCATTTCTCTGAAAGGCCAACTATCTTTATCTCAACTGAACTAGAATATTGGTAGTCATAACAAGGCTGTTCATTGCATTGTTTCAGTAAATTTGGGGTTTGGGAGAAGGCTGCCCTACCCCGAAACAGAACAGTAATATGGCTGGGATAGGATTACATGAAATTATTTGGAGAGGAGGAGACAAGGCAGCATATTTAGGTTACCTTATTTACTATAGAGTGATGTGCAGGGGTGGGCTTTCTGTCCCCTACCCCTTGTCCAGGGAGGGGATGCAAGAACCCATGTTGCCCAGAAAGCCAACATCGCTTAGAGCTCTATTGGTTGGCCTGTACCAGTGGCTGGCTGGTAACTATAATTTCTCTGGATTAGCTGGCAAATTGGGAGGAAGGCAAGTCATTACAGTGCTATAATTAAGTCACTTCATGGCTTGGACTGAATTGTTTTATGTGGGTGTGGATATAGACAGCTCTGATTGGTTATAAAGCACAGAAGTAACCTTTATATTCTCCCCTCACTGTTGTTCCATGTTTTAAAAATGCTTCTATTCTTGGTATGTTAGAGAAATATAAATGAAAGAAACATCTGATCTTGTGCTATTTTGCATTTTAAACTCAATTTACTGAGAGTTATTATTTAATGACTACATGGAAATAAAACCAAATTTTCTTCTGCTTTCCTGATACCAAAGACATCTACTTGGGATGAAAAACCTACTATATTTTTAACTAAAAAGAATAACATGAGCATCGGTAAGCAAGTACATGCTATGTCAGCTGTTTACTGATTATAAAATTGCAACTACTAAGAGGAAAGGTAAGCAATGTCAGGCTGGGTAGACCCTTTCAGGACCTGCCCTGCTGTAAGGCACAGGTGGCAGAATATAGGGGGCAGTCCCTAACCATTCTCTTTCTTGAGCATCTCCTAATCTAGCCTGATAACCTCAAGTTTGTTAGAGGATGCTCTCCTGCTGCCAGCATTGAGGTAAGATTATTGACAATGTCCTTCCATCAGGCAGCAAATTATCTTGGGTCCTTTCATACCCACGCTGGTCCAGGTGCTGATGCAGGTGTGGCCTGCCATTACTCCACCATATGGATGGTTGTTCAGGGGACATAGGCCCTGGGATTCAGCCCCAGTTGTATCGCTGCATGACAACTCAGAGCAGAGCTAACAAGACCAATATCCTAACAATAGCTAACAGGTCAGAACCGAAATCACTTCCTTAGCCTCTGCCCAAAGCAAATTCTTCCTCTCCCAACTGCACACAGGTAATTCTAGTAAGGTATACTAGAATTAAGGAGGGGTTAGAATCTCCAGTTTATTTTCTGATGAGAGGATATTAAAATTCACAAATGTATTCATAAACAGAGCAAAATGAGATTTTAAATAACTGAATGCAGAAGAAAGCAAAATTGGCACATTTGTTCAAAACTGACAGGAGTCTTTGAGCAAAGGGTTCTTAAATGCCCAGAACTAAATCCTTCTGTATT